TCCTTGTTCCGTACAACGAAAGTGCATTGGCTGGTTCGAGTCCGCCCAGCGATTCGTCGACACCTCTGGCAGCGCATTACAACCGCCATCGTGTTTCGTCTACGTAATGAAGACGACACTCATGGCTGTGCAGAACGCCACTGTATGTAGACGCTACACACTTGGCTACGTCCGAGGCAATTTCACCGGCAGCCCCAAGCATCCCTCTTCGCCTCACACGAATGCGCACACGAATGCGCACACAAGTACGAATGCGCACACAAGTACGAATGCGCACACAAGTACGAATGTGCACCCGAATACGAATGTGCACCCGAATACGAATGTTCACACGAGTGGGTCAACTGGGGCACCTGTTGTGCCCCATAGTCGGTTCCACGCTGCCTTTGACGTGGTCTGCAACGCGGAGAAACTGGCATTAGGCGACCGAGGGCCTGCTGTGAATGTAACACGTGAGTGTGTACTTGAGATGGAGCCGGTCAAGGTCGTGAGTCAGATTCTGAGTCCGCTGTTAACGGAGGACTTTGTGGTAGTTTGTTTCTTCGGTCGATTGTTGCCGTTGATGTTGCACTTCGTTACAGATGTGCCTGTGGATGCTGCGATGGCATTGATTAAGACGTGTGACCTGACGGCGTGTAAAGGACCGAGCTTGCATCGTATACTGGCTTCTATTGGTAGTGACCATTCATTAGCGGAGTTCGAGAAGCGACAGCGTGAACTAGAGACCTTGATGAGCTTCGAGGGGTCTGCCGGTAACTTGTATGATCTTGTGTCCGCCATGGCCGGAGAACTCCCTTCAAGTAACTTAGACGCTGCTGTTGATGACCTAGTTTGTATCCTCGGTAAACTGCTGTACTGGAGCGAAAGCCGCGTCCCCGTGCGCTTTCGTGCTCATGTCAACTACACACACGCTATGTTGCGGTCCAAAACTGACTTCGGGTTTGTGGTGACTTCTGCCGCCCTCGCCGCCGTTTGTCCACACGTGGGCATGCCTGTGTGCGGTGTGGAGTCTCCGCACAAAGGCCACGCCGTGGTGGCCGTAGGCGGAGCGGTTCAGCTGGGTAGCCTGACGAGCTGTTACGTAGAAATCGACTTGCAGTCGGTCATCGACGAGCAGGCGGCGGTTGCAAGTCGCCAGTCTCTTAGCCGCGTGTCTCTCAGCAAGCAGGCCGGAACGAAACAGGCTGCTCGGGGCAAGCGACGGACTTCAGCATCCATCAGCTCATCGATGATGCCCCACAGCGCTTTGCCTTACAGTTCGGGGGTCCACAGTTCAGTTCACAACTCCGTGGCGAACACTGCGGCGGGCCACAGTTCCGTGGCCCACAGTGGGCTGCCGCACAGCTCGGTCCCGGCCGGCTCCTCAGCGGCCGGACCCACTACGCTGACGGCTACCTCGAGACCCAAGAGGCCTGCTAGGAACGAGGTCGCAGGCCTGTATCTCCCCATCGATACTGCGTTGGACGGGGAGGCATGGCTCAGCCATTACCTACCGAACGAATCGCGTCCATTCCACTGGAAACGGTGTGTGGAGGTGGCAACCGTCCCACCCGTTGTCTACTTAGATGCCGCAGACCTCAGGACCGCCGTCGTGGTCACCGTGAACGATATGGCGCTTCTATCCGAAGCGTTCTACGTAAAAAGCAGACTCTTAGACAACCGTGTTCCATGTGTGGTCTCCCGTTCCGCTGAGGCAGAACTGGCAAAAGCACGAAAGAAAGACGCCAAGGGCCATTGGCTCATATACCTGCAACAAAGAAAGGGAAACGAAGTCAGTTACCGACTTACACCCCTTTCCAACCTAGCCCTACTCCTCACTAAGATCAAAATCCACTTCCGTGATAACCCCCAAAGACTCGACGAATATAAAGAGAATGTCAACTCCTGCGACCGCTGGTACGATTCGCCCCTAGCCGCCGTCCAGGCCGCAGTTCAACTTATTGTCGAATTACATGGCCTCACCTTTACGCAACCCACTTCTGACGCACCCTTCGCCGACCCTTCGGACGACTCATGAGCCCTTCAACACATCGTCCGAACGAGCGCCCCACCGTCCTCCCAACAGGTGTTAGGAGTCTCAGTGTCGACGGCTATCAGGTTCGACGGCTATCAGGTTCGAACCCTCCCAACGAGAGTATCACGGTCGACGACGACTTTTGTGGTGCACGTGCAGGTACGCGGAACCCGTGAACATCAAGGCGCCACGGTGTCCTGTTGTTTATTTTTTCGTGCAACCATCAGACTGGACCCACACCCACCCGACCGACTCAAACGAACAAACACCATTTGACTTTACCGCACACACAAACAACCCTTTTTGCTAATCATAAACCTGCCACACAAAACTACGGGTCCTCAACCAGCAGCGGTACACAGCCTCAACCAGCAGCGGTATAGCCTCAACCAGCAGCGGTATAGCCTCAACCAGCAGCGGTATAGCCTGAGCGGCGCAGCTCTTAAGCTGTACCGGTTGTAGTGGATGCTTGTAGAGCGCTGGCGAGTTTCTCAGCTTGTTCGAGCATAGGCTGTAAGTAGTCGGTGAATGCGGCGGTCCAGAACTCGGGCGAGGCTCCGTTGAGTCCGAAGGGGGCAATGAGCTCGGTGAATGGCTTGCTGCTTCCATTGGAGAGAAGTTCGATGAGCAGTTCCTGGAATTTGGGATCTTTCTTCCTTTCGTAAAGACTGTAGAGAGAACCAACGGTGAGATCGGCGAATGCATAGCTGTAAACGTAGAAGGGGACTTCATGGAAGTGTGGTACGTAGCTCCAGAGGTTCTGCATGTCGGCATAAGAGGTGAAGATTTCACCCTCTTCCCCGTAGAATTCTCTAGTAGTTTGCATCCAGAACTGTTCCATCTTGGTAACGTCGACGAAGCCCTCTTGTCGGGCATTGTGGACAAGTTCTTCGAAGCGGTCAAAGCTGATTTGGCGTACGACGGAATTCATAATATCGTTGATCTTGACCATGAGATGCTCCAGCTTTAAGGCGTCGTTGGGTTGTGCATCAAGTAGCTTCTTAAAGACCAACATCTCGCCGAAAATACTGGCTACTTCCGCAATCGCCAAAGCCGGGTGTTGCATTAAGTACGGCTGTTTGTAAGTCAGGATACCGTGGACTGCATGGCCGCACTCGTGTGCTACGGTAGCCACATCGTTGTCTTCGCCCAGGTAGTTCACGAACACACCGGGGCCCACTTGCGGGTTACCCAGGAAGCAGAAGGCTCCGCCGCGCTTTCCGTCTGTGGCCGGCGCGTCGATACGTCCCTCGGCTACAAGCCGGTCGAATAGAGTCCCGAAGGTCTCGGAAAATGCGTAGAACGATTCCTTGACAATTTTAATGCACTCATCCCACTCATGTTTCTTCTCCGACATGGCCTTAAAGTTCAAAGGCGCATTCCGATCCGACCAAGTAAACTCATCTCGTCCCGTCTGCAACTTGAGCACTTGCCGCTTAAGTTTATAGAAACGCTTGTTAGTCTCTACACCCTTTGTTCGAACAGCCGTCAATAACGCCTTTACAATGTCGTCAGTCAGCTGGTTTGCCATATTCCGACTGGCCCGGATGGAACTGAACTTTCGTTCTTTGTTCTCTACGGCCTCCTTTCCTGCAACTTGATTCAATGATAGACAACTAAAATTGGTGATCTTATTCGAAGCTAAGCCAGCATTAAAAGTCTTCATAGCCACCTCCCGAACTCGCCAGTCTTTGTCATGCAGATAGGAAAGCAAACGAGACTCATTCAATGTTTCCGTCTCGTTTTTTAAAGGATGAACAAATGTGTATTCTGCCTCTACCAACATACTCGAGAAATATTCCACCACCGGTGTCACACCCGACCAATTCTCACGCAGAGTCAATGCCTTCTCCACCTCCTCCGACAACGAATGTGGAGCCAATAAACGTACATTCTTCAACCAAGGCTCCAACAACCGAACATACTCACTCTTCTCAACCCACTTCCCCACGCACTCATCACTCAAACGCATCAACTGCAAATTGAACCATTCCATCGCTTGACCCTCTACCTCACCACGCTTCGCCCAGTACCAACTATTCGTCTTCTTCACTTTAGCGTCATCCTCCCTTGTACGTTGGAAAGCTTTGACAAACTGATCGATCGAGCTGAATGCTTCATTAATATCAGAATACTCCTTCAAAGCCTCATCTAACACTTCATCCAATTTCCCGTAATACTTGTTACGGAACTCTCTACATGACATCACTGTCGAATGGCCATGTACCACACGTGTGTGTGTAATGCTACAACGCGTGTAATGCTACAACGCGTGTTTCCCGCTACTCGAACGTGTATATCGGTGTTTTTGTTTGGCGTGCGGCTCCTACCCAGCTCTCTTGTTCAAAACCTCAAAATCTTGCAGGTACTTGGAATCTTCCAAGTCCTTGTACCCATACAGGTTATTCATATCCCATATGGGTAGAACTGTTTCATCGATACCATGCGCAGACATAATAAGAATTTTGGTGCTCAGTAAAAGCGATAGCAATGAAATCCGCATGGCTACGTGACTTCTAACTATCTGTCTATCTGGCGTAGCAAAAGAATTGTTTCATTTTTACTTGTGACAGCTTGTGTCCGGATGCTATCGGTGATCAACATGGATGTTATGATTCCAGGATACAATTGTGGGATATGGGTGCAGAACCTAAGCACACTCCTAGTAGGTTGATTTGGGTGTCTACTGGTCTGTGGGTGGGGATTCGGTTGGGTCAGTCAGTTGTGATCCAGCAGTTTTGGTCGAAAAAGTTTAGGCGACGATGGCAGAGGCCTTGGCTGCAGTGTACTTCCAGGTGGCAGGAAGACGGCGTCTGCTTCTGTAATAGCGGGCAAGTCTGTGGATCTTGGATTCAGTGAGGCCGACGCGATACTTGCAGGATATATCACTATGGGCTCTCTCGAGATGCTTGCGCATGTTGACAGCCTTTTTCATGAGGAAGTAGAGGTCCTCGGGCACTTCATTGGCCAGGCCCCTTTTCCTCAGGATGCGGGTGATCAACGTGCCAGTGATGGCCTTCACACGGGGCACTGCCTGGGAGTCTCGAAGAGCGATACCGATTTGGGAAGGAGTCATACCCTTCTTGGCCAATGCCTCAATACATGTAATAACCTCCTCCGGTGTCACCTTGGACCAGGTGGGGGCGTCACGGACATAAGGCAGCGCCGACCGGGCAATGCCCTTCTTCTTGCCGTACATTCGAGCCATCGTTCCGGGGCGACTGAATTTTAAAAACCAAAACTAAATCACACACGACTCTAACGACTTCCTGGCTTGGTTCCCACTTGGGTTCATCTCCAATGGTTCCCACTTGGGTTCATCTCCAATCCGGTTAGTTAGTTCCCGACACCCCAAGTTGGTTCTAGAGTCGGCCCAGACTGGGACACCAGATGTTAAGTGCTGGCCCAGACTGGGACACCAGATGTTAAGTGCTGGAGGGTTTTCGTTCAAGCTTCGTTCGCAGCTCCTGGGCCAACACCGCAAGACCAATTGCAGTAAAGAAGTTTACACAAAACCGCATGTTACTGCGAGTGTCTTCAAGCAAAACTGTGTGCGCGAACAAAACCTCTTCCTCTTGCATACGCCGCCGCAAGTTGGAAAGCCCCATATAATCGATTAACTCCTGGAATAGGATCTTCAAAAAGATCCGACTAGCAGCGGTAGTATCATCCTCCGTCAGACGCACACACTCGAGCACGTTCCAGCCAACCGAATCAGAGCCAAGCAAGTGTGAGAAGAACATTGCCACATTCCGGAGGTTATTGGTTTCGAATCTATGAATCTAAAAGATTGGACGTATGGATGTTTGCATATATTTGGACATGTTTGTACGCAGGAAAATGTGTGCACACACGTGTGTGAGATTACAATTTTGTAGTTGATTTTGAACGCCTCCTCAAACTGGGTGCGGTAAGATTCGTTGAGAGCGCAGAGCCGCTCTGCCTGGAGTGCTAATGACCGGCTGAATGTGCGTTCCATGCTACAGCTATCTACAATCATAGAGCAGACCTCCTTTTCGTCGCCAGGCCTCAAGTTCAGTTTCAATAGCTTATGGACGCTCTCTTCGAAGTTCAGGCTGCTCATAATGCACAAGTATATACTCTTCCGTAGGTTTATTTTCTCCTGTTCTGTCATATCATGAATTACAACCAGACCTGCGCCTCCCCCTGTTTGGCCCCCACTCTGCGAGTCGGCAGTCGCAAGTCCCGCAGTCCCAGACTTGACAGCTGCGGGTTCCACTGCGGGTTCAAGCCCTTCCAGTTCCTCTAGCTCTGCGTCTCCCAGGTCCTCGACATCCTCTTCGCCATCGCTGCCGATGATCTCTCTGCTTATTTCCTGCCATTTGCCTTCTTCACGTTTATACTGGTCGGGCGGTGAAGCTTGGAACAAGTCCAGAAGGTCTTGTCTATCTATGTTGTCTTCTAGTAGATCGACAGTATGGGTCACTTGATCATCTTCTTCGACCAAATCCAGTTCCGGTAGTACTGACGGGTTCTCTTGAAAATGTTTACGTCGCACGTCAAAAAAACGCTCGATAACGTACTGGGTATGTGCTGCGACTTCACCCTCATTCAATATATTCCTCAAACGGTCACATATCATTGTCAACCCATTATTCACTTCCTGTTGCAAGAAATCACCCACTTCCTCCAGGAAAGCGCAACAAACGTGTACGCTATCATTAGTTGGCTGATCCAGTAATAAAGCACATAGTTCCAGGGCAGTCACCTCCCCCAAAACTCGTTGGTTGATTAAGTGCGCGAAGAACTTGAGCGAGCCGATCGTATTCACCTTGTCCTTGCGCCGAAATGCTCGCCGGAATCGCAGGACCAACCGTCTTATCAACAAGTCGCCTATGTCTGGAATTCTCGTATTTATTACCGCAGCAAGCGCTGCAAACACGTGTGTGTATTCCGGCGAAACCGTCTGCGCATGAAGCAAAGCTCGCACTAATAAGCCACGACCCCGGATAAGGTTTACTTTGAAGAGGGATTTTGCTATCACAGGGATATTCCCTACATTACTCTTGTTCACACTTCCATTTATAGTCTTTCTTAACTTCTCCCATTCTTTTTGCTGATATCGCTCTCCATACTCCTCTAACTCAATTTCCGCCTCTAACCGTGCAAGCTTATGGGGTGGGAGGTAAATACCTCCAGTTCGGGACGCCCCATTAGACATATTCATCCGGATATATAAATGTTGAATGTGCCGCCACTTGTTGCCGCCTTTTCAACAAGCCCGTTGCCAGAGAACAAACACCAGGTGAGGATCGAATACCAGGTGAGGATCGAATACCGGGCGAGGATCGAATACCGGGTGAGGATCTGTGTGGGGCTGGTTATTGAAGTGGGGCTGAGGACATCAAACCAGAATACACATCTAAATTGAGGAGCTATATATGATTAACGCTAAAAATATATTTCTGTCGTTTGTTGGACAAAGCTTGTTTGACAACAACACTTGTTGGACGACAATTATTGATGTGTCATTACAACCCAATGGTTAACGACTAAAGTGTGCTACTATACCTGAACAGCATATTTTAGAGGACAGACGAGAGTTTTCCCGATGCAGATATCGTCTTTATAAAGTTTACCTTGACAGTCGTAGCTTCTATCTCGGCACCTCATATGGAAGGTTGCAGTGAGTGTTTCACCGGCTTCTAGTAGTATTGGTCGTTCGAGTATGAATGCGGTCTGATGCCAGTGCGTTCGTGGTGCGAATGGATGTGTGCTCAGTACGACTTGCGCAGCTAATTCTACATCGAACCAAACAACAAAGGCTGTTAGGGTGACATCGTTGCTTAGCGGTCCTACAGTAAAGCAGATAGGGATTTCGTCAAAGGAATTCGATGGGCAGGTTAGTAGATCGAAATGGACTGCACCATAGTTGCTCTGTTGATAGCTTTCGGACTTTAACCGAAAATCTTGCCAGCCGCCTCCTCCTGATACACAAGCTTCGCCATTGCTCTTATTACCCTGCTCAACGCACACTCTCCTTCTCTTACCTAGCTGAGGAGATGACGGCTTCGATGACGATGGCCTAGTAGCAACGTTCTCTTCCACCGATTCACACCCATACTCACTCACCAGATCATCCACATCCATTATTACAGGCCTCACCAATAACTCATGAATAGCAGCAGTATGCAAACTACGCCAATCCAGACCATACATATTCTTCTGACGCCATAACTGACTCTCACGGGATATATATAAACCATAGTAACTATTACTCGTCAATCCAACATAAACACTCGCCTTTCGAGGAATTATACTTCCACCTGGACGCAAAAACCGATCACGAGCTACCAATAACGTCTTCATCATTCCTTCAGACACCAGACAGATACCCATCGGCTCCGATACAATCACGTCTACCTTCCCCAAGGGCTTACCAACCGTCTCGACCCCATCACAGAGATGCAGACCACTCGTTTTGCTCTTATTCCTAACCACTGGCTCCTCCACCGGCTCATCGCTAGTTGTCACTACATTCGCTGTGCCCTTCTCGTGACCGCTCTTCTCACAACCGCTCTTGCCATGACCCACCAACACCGGCTTGACCTCCTGTTTTGGCCCCGGTGCACTATGTCCCATCAACCCCTCCTCTCCCAGTCCTTCTCGCGTCGCTGTTTCCACCGGCTCCAGAGCACTATAAACTTTAGTCGTATGGCACACACCATTCTGGGAACTAGCTAGCACGCACAAAGATGACTGGTTAACCGCATCCTCACAACCCGCTTCTTGACAAGCCGCCTGCTCCGGGTCTGTATCTTCTCCAACCTCACCACGAACCTCACTTTCAATCGGTTGCTTTTCTGCAGCCTCTTCTCGTTCCGCAGCCAACATTAAGTCCTTCGTTTCCATGCTGGATTGAAGAACCGGTTCCAAGGAAGCCCCCGGAGAAGAAGGGCCTTTCGCGAGACAACCGCAGTTTCCTCTGCCCTTTCCCGCTCGGTCTCTGCCCCCAATGCTTGTCAGCACGTCTAATTCATGACCCCGTTTAGCACCAGCACAGGCACTTTTGAAACCGTTTTCTGGGAGCTCGTGGATGTTCTCGAGCTTGTCATGAATCCCAATTATGCGCTCTCTGTAAAAGGGCTCGTTATGAGCCAGCAAATGCTGCATTATGTTCATTGCTGCGGAGGCCTCAACGGCATACACTCTTCGTGCTCCAGCCCGGCAACAGAAGACACTTAATATACCTGTTCCGCTTCCGACGTCCATGACGACGGAGCCGTCCAGCAAGGCCCGTTGGCCTTGGATCGCTTCCTGATACCGCTTTGTCCTTTCAAAATCGCATACCATATTCATTTGCGCATCCATTGTGCCATATTGCCTGAAAATACGGGAAATGCGCATTGGACACGCGTGTGTGCACACACGTGTGTGCCCGCCAAAAGTTGGCAACTCGAGACGAAGGTTGGGGAGCATGACCCAGCCTCTCCTGACGTGTTTGCGACGTGCGCGGCTGCTTACATAAAATACTCCTCATCTTCCCCGTTCGGCATATAAATAAATCGATGGTCGGGGCAAGGCAAGCGCGCACCAGATCAAGAAGGTTCTTCGCCGAACAAGCTGCGGGGCCGGATTGCGGCTGGCGGAGAAGCCCGGAACAACTAGGCAATCGGCGGGCGGGTGGGTCGTTAGCGGGTCTCTAGCAGGACGGATACAACCTAGCAGGGCGGTGACACGGTGAAGGGGGTGTTGGTGAACTGGTGGACAGGGACAGGGACAGGGACAAGGACAGCGACAACGGCAACACGTGGGCAGAGGCGGTAGAGGGAGAAAAAGCGGAAAATTCTAAATGCCTGTTTGTTGTCATGTTCCGCATGGTGACGTGTTGGTCTTGAAGGAGGAGTCGGGTCTGGCGTCCTACCGGCTCGCGGGTGTCCGGGCGCCTCGCTTGCCGTACAACGACCCGTGGGTGCCGGCGTGCGTTGC